AAACCGCATTTTGCAGGTCGACGCCAGCCATTTCCTGACCTCCCAAAGGGACCCTAAGTCGATGGACGGCCCCAGCCAGGAGCACGTGACTGAAAGCAACCTTGGCCGGCTGCCCTCCGCAGCTCGACGCCTCTTGATCGTCGAGGGTTCGGACGCTGCGCGCTCGCCAGCTGACTTGTACTGCGCAGGAGGTGACCAGAGCGATGGCATGAAAGCTGCGAAATGGCGCAAACAGCATATTGTACCGGCAAAACTGAGAAAGGGTGCATGGACAACGAGAGAATCAGCCGCACGCACGTGGGGTACAGGCTGTGACAAGGCGGGCGTATGAGGGTCAGACTGTCAAGCACAGGTCGCTTCAACGGTTGAAGGTCAACCGACGTGCCTGTGTGCCCGGGAGACATGCGTAATTCTCCGACTAAGCCAAATGTGTTTGATGTGGCCTGACACCCGACGTTCCCTGGGGACCCAATTGGGGTTATTTACCCCACACGGGCGCATGTGCCACAAGGGATACGGTCGCCTGTACTGCGAGATCGCGTTGCCATCTTGTTGGCTCACTGCCTTGCTCAGAGCAGATTTGGGCACCGGGATTGGGATTATCTTATCCATGTCATCATGGCGTGGTGTGGTCGTCATCATCAAAATCCATGGATTACATTTGTCAAAAAATGACAAAACACAGCCCGTGCACCTGGTAGGCGATGATGGGCGTGAAAACCAAGCAGATAGTGTGTTCGGAATCGATTATTCATGATCCCATATTGCCACTCCCTATTGTCCCATGAAATGCAGTGAGCTGGCATGAGTAATGGAATCCCCGTGGATTATGCTCAGTGTTATCCATGGTGTGGTCCAAGGGACGTTACCATTGGTCATATGTTCTGCAAGTTGAAAATGGCGCCGGATGGCCAACGGAGGGCGGCGAAGTGGACGCCAGGAGGACAATCCAACTGTCCCAAGGATTCATGTGGCCATCGAACCAAACAACGGCCATCCAATCAATCCCCCACAGCTGGAACGCACTTATTCCAGTTTTCGTCCTTCTTGGAGATTAAAACGGACATTTTTAGTGCCATGTCAGTTCTCTTACATCCCATGTCAGTATGCACTGACAACCGTGACTACCACATCGAAATCAAATTCCGGCAAGTGTGATGAATGTCCTACTCGGCATAGTGGTGTCAAGTACGTGTCCGATAAAGATCATCCCCAACAAAAGGGCCTTCACTGCTGCTCCTTTCCTGTGTTAAACATCCCATTAGTCACTTAGTACTGGTACGCCAGAGCGGACTCGTGACTAAAACTGGAATGTAAAAGTGGTTTGTCGCACTGACCGAACTGTGTTCAATGCCGAGTTAAACTGCGTTATAAGATACCTGACAGGAACCGGTCTGCTCACAATACGGACGCGTGCAGCTGAGAGGGAGGAAGTTGTGAAGCTTTCACAGGAACATGGTGAGAAGACTCGTGACTGATGGAAGAGGGAACGCTGCTGGTCCTGCCTGGAGTTTTCTGCATGATTGGCACAGTTGTATGCTTGCTGATGCGCTCAAAAAGATTCCCATGAAATGGCGTTGGACTAGGAAGGCAGTTGACACATATGGACAGGAGTTCAAGGCATATGGTGATGAAGAGGAGAACGATGACAATCCCAAGGGCGTTGTACATACTGGACCTGTATAAATTGCGGGTGCACTTGTCCTAACGACCAAGGTGGATGGACTTTGGAATGCACATGGCCTGCGATGAGGAAGCACTGTGTCCATACCAGATTTAAGGGCATTGGAGACGATCTGCCCTAAACGCTAACATGTGCGCTTAGGAAAGGAAGCTCTCCCATGGCTGCGACAAGACCAGCCAAGATACTTGAGCGTCCGACAGAACCAGCTACCGAAACTAAGGATGACCGGCCAAATGCCAAAAAAAGCGGAATGGTCGGCCAGCCAATTATGGCCATGAACGGACAACCAGCGTGTTAATGCTTCCAACATTGAGATATCCGATCGATGGCGGAGTCAGGAGGTGAATGACCTGAACTGTGCGGCAAGTCATGCTTCTGTTTCGAGGAAACAAATGACAGGGGCTGAAGGTTGCAACCAGATTACTGATGATTGTGAGAGCTGTCAAATTGGATGAGAACCGAGCAATCACTTTCCTGTCCTCCATGGTGATTAAAATGGAAACAATGCGTGATGAGGGGCTGCCCAGAGTAGCAGAGGAAGTGCGCCAGCGACACCCCTCTCCGTCGGGCGCGTCCTGGTCTATCGACTTCGATAACCTTCAATGATGGTGTTTGATCAAGGGGGGTGCCGTCGCGGACAGCTGCTTGTCCCTGTTGGCAGGAATTGCCATCGCTGGTGGTCCTTTGATGTTAGGAAGACGGGGAAGGCGTGGCTTGTCCTGGAACAGACAGAACAGCAACGAAGATAACCGTAGAGCCGATCGGCCATCCATAACGTATAGCCATGGAGTCCCTATGGCACCTTGGGGTGCGTATCCAAGGTTGCCGTACACCATCGTGTGTCATGGCAACCTTGAATGTCGTACGGCAACGTCGGGCGCTGAGTCGCGGAGCGCCTCGGAGCCGTACGTCCGGCGGTGGCGACATGCAGCAGCGCGCTCGAACATGGGTGCGAGAACATTGTTGCCAGGCCTTGATGGCGAGGATGGCGGAATCACGTGGCCCGCGTTGCGCTGCTTACATGGCAGCAGCCTGCCTCGCCGTGCATGGAATATGCATGCCTACAAGCGGCTGCATTGAGCGCAAGAGACGCTGGAATCCGTGAAGAGCTGGACAGCCAGGCGCGGCTTGGATGTGAAGGCCTGCTCAGTGATGTGGTGCGCGAGCGAGGCACTGGCGCCCATGGCGGAGGCCTTGGGGAGCAGGCGAGGGCAGGCTCAGGCGAATTGCAGGCGGCGGGGCGCATGGCGCGTGTGCAATTGGACAGGAAGCCGCGGAACCGAATCAGGAGGCGTTGATGCAATCACGGAGACCGCATGGCAGTCGGTAAAGTCAGAGCATAGTCAGGCAAGAGAGCAGAGGTCTTGGGACATCTGAAGATCTGGAAGGATTCACGATATCCGAGGTAAGCATGGCGAAGGCATATAAGCCCCTACGTTAATAGTAGTGCAAATACCAGCCCTTCGGCAGGGACCGCCTCCAATCATTCACAGCCTAAGATCTTTTCGCCGATCATCCAGATGATCCCTCTGGTTCAGGCACGGAGGTTATTGCCCATCGGCGGCGCCTGGTCTGGGCCAATGGCGCTTTCGCTTCCATGCTAGTCACCCCACTTAGTTTTGTGGTTCTGAAAGGCGCGGTTATCGGGGGCCTGTCCCCAGCCCTTGAACCGGTGCTTCATAGTGCGGCCACCAAAGGGACCACGGGACATGCATTAAATCAGAATATATGAGCATATATAAGAGAGAGAGTATATATATATATATATATATATATCCTCCATAGGGTGGGAGAGCGACCTCTCCATTGCATTGTTCAAGCACCACGCGTTTGCCAAATCTCTCTTTCACGTTTCAAATGGGGACAATGGGCCAAGCCACAGTCACAAAGTGGAATGGTGGGCGCGAAAGAAAGAATCAATGCAGCAGCTCAGATTCGCGCCACACAACAAGCTGTGTCCGCACTGGTACCTACCCAGGTACAGCCCCCGTGGCCCGCCGATGAATGCATGTACGCATGTACTACGAGATCGCAGTGACACTGTGCTTGTTCACATGGTCATTGCAGTAGTGAGCAGCGGGCTTGGAATCTCCTAATCCATCCCGTCAAGCTAGGTGTGCTACGATGGAAGTTGCGATTGGTTACATGCTCTGAGACGCCGCCACATTGCAATGGACAGCAACGTAGTGTAGGACAGGAGGCAATACACCCTTTGCGAGGGCTGACGTGGCCACATGTGCGAAACCACTGAGCTGTAGATCTGCATTTTAGAGTGCCCCAGAGAGACAAGATAGAATTCAAGCAACATACGGTCGCCAAATTGAATTGAATGGTAGCAACGGGCTCACCGGTTAACTCATGCCCATAGACTCTAAATGGCTCTAGGGAACTGACAGATTGCGGGGCCATATTGTGCGTCCGTCAAAGGCAAGCGTACCTATGCAACGGAGAAGACGCCAACGGCAATATTTTCGTGCCAATGATAATAAATGCGAACATACGTGCAAATATCCCGAGTGGAGGAATGAATGCGTCGCTGGGTGCTTTATTATGACGGAAATGAGCTCATGAATATTGCCAATTGACACATTGACCAATGCAAAGGGCATTTGGATGGAATTCGCGCAGTTTGCGCTTTGCACAGGAGCGGGGATAGCGACACATATTGAGCTATGATTGGGTTTGCTATCGGTGTGCAGCTCATCTCAAGCATGAGCTACACCCGCGGATATACGCCTGACAAAAAAGCAGAGCCAACATGCTAATGAGACGCCAGAGCATCATCCAAGCCTGTGGCCGTGGCCTTGGCGACTCGGTAAGCCGTTGAGCAAACCCTGAATTATTCGGCATTTGTGCGGTGGCCGTGCTCAGTCCCATACTTCACGTTCAGCATCACAGGCGCAGCTTGCATCGCTGCGCTTATGGAGCCCCACTACCAGAGCGTTCTGATGCAACGCAGCAAAAAAACGAAACGTCGCTGTGCCCAGTACAGCAATGGATGCCTGTGACCTTAGGTCTTCTGCATTGTTGATGGAAGGCTTTGGAAACTTTTCTTCTGCACTTAAGTGTCGGCCGTAATTAAATCTCATGGGAAGCAGTATCTGAGGTTTACATACATATACATCCATAAATAACATCTACCCAATTCACGGGAAATTGGTCAATCAAATCGCCAACACTGATACGCATTCATTCGTCGTCGTTTTCTTCCAGCAATCAACAACCCATTTCAAGACCCAGTAGGTCTTGGTACATCCCTTGCCAGGCACACGTATCGGCCACTGCCACTACAGTAGAGTCAAATCCCGCCAAGTTCCTATCCCATCGTCTCCTCCACCAACGCGTTAAGCGCCGTTTCCACCACCTCGTCACGCACAGCCCCAAGAATCCCCTTCATAAGTTTGTTCTTCTTTAAGTACATTAGACCAAAATTTTGGAGCTGATCTGCGGCTGCCACAATCGCCAACGCCAAAGCAACGTCCTCGCCCTTATGCACGGTGAGATCTGCGTCAGCCTTGTCTCCATAGATCGACCGGCCGACATCTGACATCCCATAATTGAATTCCCCTATGAGCCTCTTCTCCTTGTCCCTCTCCGCTCGCATCGCCCCGTCAGCAGTCATCCCAATGTCTGGCACTCCGTAACTGCCCTTCTGGTTTGGTCCGGGCATGTAAGCTTTGATTTCTTTGTTGTTTCCCCATTCCCACAATCGAACCATAATCGTGCCCCCACGTTGCGGCCGCCCCCCCAAACTGATCAGCAGCGGCTGCCCACGGTAAGGTATCGCCACTTTCAGGATTGTATAGCCAGACTTGTCACGAAGGGACATGTGCTTGGCTCCCATGGGCTCGGACCGGGGTTCCATGATGAAGAAAAAAAGAGTCTCCTTGCTGGAGTTCTGCACCACGACTTTCCATTGCCCGACACCCTCGCTGAGACCCGAATGGTTGGGCTCCTTCTTGAGGAAGAGTGTTGTGCGCTGGAGCCAACAGAATTGTTCCCCCGCAAAGCACAAGTGGCCAGATTTCAGCTCTTCTGGCACCTCAGGCTCCTTTTCAAGTGGCTTGCTGGACAGGCATCCCATCGAGGACGACGCCCTGCAGCGTGAGGCCTCAAAGAGCCTGCGGCACCACTAAACAGATGATCAGGGCAAAGTCAGCGAGAATTTGCAATCCCAAATCTCCTCCGGCGACTGCCACCCCACAGCCCTCATGCCCAGTTCTTTGGTTCTCAAAACTGGCCACATCGCATTTGTTAGCACCGCTGGCGGTCCTGCGCCCGGCAGACGTCCTAATTTCTTTCTTGCCATTTCCATTCAGGAGATTATTTATTTCGCTGACGTGCACCAATGCGGATGCCATTAGTGACGGGTCGACCAGCCCCAAACACTAGCAAAAAAGGGATCAGATAACACTTTTGCGAACACACATAAAACACATTTCGTCAAAGTCCTGCACGCTAAGAACACAAAAATAACCCAAACCCGTAAACTTTGTTCACGTTTGAACACGTGTCTTTTGGCCCTTTTTTCTCTAGTGAAATGGGCCAAGCCTTGAAAAGCGGACCACATTAGACGAAAGAGATGAGCAGCGTCGGCGAAGGTTGCCAGCAGGTGGCCAACGGCAGCGAGCAACCGGGCAAGGAGCAGCCCCGGCGCTGGACGCTTCTCGGCACTTGACCAGCAACTGAAACCCCAAGCCACCCTGGCCACCATGCGGTTGGCGGACGTCCGTGACGGGCTGTCCGCTGGCACCACCGATCAGCCGTTTGACTGAAGTATGAGGTCACGCGTCCAGGCCCGGAGCCAAGCCAGATCGGCTCCTGGTTGCCTTTGCCGGTGATTGTGGCGAGGAGATGGGAACACCTCCTACGGACATCTCTGTGCCAGCCTGAAACCGCCCCTGTCCTCAAACCAACGAGTTCCGGCGGACGTGAGGCAATTGCATCTGTTGCATTGGAGGGTGGAAAGAAGCAATCGGCCCCTCGGACGACCGTTCAGCATCTCGCGCCGCAGCCGCCGGCGCTGCGCCAGTTTGCTGAGACTGCGGTTGGAGACCATTGCGCACAGCCGCCATCCCATGGCAGCAGGTGGTTTCGACCCCGCGGAAAGGAGGTCGAGATCCAACCAACTGCCTCCTGGCGACTCACCCGCGCTGCGATTCAAAGCCAAAATTGGACAGAAGGCGCCGGGAGGTGGTCATTCAGCTTCCAGCCAGCTTGCAGATGGCGGGCGCCGCGCGCTCGAACCGCGGCGCCGCGCAAATCGATCACAGTCGCGCACCGTGATCGATCCTGACACGTGTCGATGCGCGCACCTTCTGCCTCGCGGGCCTTGCCTCCAACAGGCCCCCGACCGCGAGATCGCCTCTGGCCTTGTGCGTCAATGGCGGGTGCTGTGGTGGCGCAGAGCTTGGACTCAATAGACCGGCCGTGGCAGGGGAGAAGATCGCGGCAAACCTGTGCCTCACTGGTCGCCGCCAAGTATGTGTACGCGGGCCCCAGAGGCCGCGGAGGGGGCCCAGGCCGCCTACCAGCCACCGGCGCAGCTGCACCGTACGTTCCGGCACGCTACGCTCAGTGTCCCCACCGTTCCGCATCAAGTCCCTGGCTCAGTAGCGCCCCCCGCGTTGTCACACTGGCCGGAACACACTGACCGGCATCAGAGTGTACCGGCGCCCCGCCAATTCAACCCATTACGTAAGACACCATTCACGGCAGCAACGAACATGTTGTACACCGTGTACATCGTGGACAGAAAACGACGGGATGCCACAGCTCGCTGCATTACGCGGCGGCCCCCCGTGCTGCCATATTGACTGGCAAACAGAGTCAGCGCGTGGCCCATGTAGCACATCGCATAGCATTACGTAAGGCGTCAATGACAGCGCCAGCCAAAAGCACCCTACAATAGCTAATGGGACGCCAGACTGCACTGTGCTGTGCCGCTCCCCGTGCCAATAGTGTGCAGCTGTATGCGTAATGTAGCGTATGCATGGGGTGTACATACCTAGCGCCTAACATACTCTAAGAGCATAAGTATCGAGTTGGACACTGACAATCTTGGGGACATGGTGTTTGATTGAAGAAGGAATGTCATGGCACTGTTTGCTTAGATTTGATAATACTGGGGTGATAGCACACGCAATGAGATGTAAGCATGTGTGAGATTGCTTTTGCATTCGATTTTGTATGTTGAAGCGACTAGTGCAAGGAGAAACCTCCTGCCACCTGCCCACTCTATCTTGCATACCCCCCGTGCTCAAAGGCCCCTGCGCTATTCAGCCGCCCCCCCGCCCCCCGGCGCTTTCCTCCGTAGTCTAGAGTACTTCAATGGCAATGCGGCCACAATATTGCATAAATGTCTACCATTTTCCCAGATGAATGTTGAGCATGCAGCAACCGTTTCTGTACGTTGTTTCAGTGATAGCATTGGCCCCTGCCAGCGCATTTAGTGACTCCGAGTATTGGCGCATTTTAGGAACGATGTCCTCAAAGCAACCGCATCCGCAAGATCAAAATTGTCGTTTTGGTTGGTCTCACAGCCTTGGGCAAATGTCCCTGGGACATTGAGACTGCGTACCAACTGAAACGTTGCCCAAACCCAACTACTGTAACGTGATTTGGGCCCACCACAATGCATCTGTGCACAGTGGGTACACAGTTTGGTGGTGTGTTGAGATGGGTTGACTAATGTTTTGCCAATGTATTTGTGGCCAGCATGGGTCCAAAATTTCTTGATAGAGTCCATGCAGACAGAGTGGTCATCATTATTGTTACATGGATTGCAGCAATGCCGTCCATTGGCAAACCACAGTGAAGGACATTCACCACCACCGGCACCTGTTCATACCCGGGAGGCTGACCAACTTTCACGTTGTTCCACATCTGAAAAATTGGTACTCAACTATCATTCGAATGGTACTGAATGAGACACCAGAATGCTTGCTCATATACCTGCATAGCACGCTTGTGCATGCCGCATGCCTGTTCTTTGAGAGATGCTTTTTTTGTTCCCATATGGACATTGATTCACCCAGCTTTCGTCACAGTGTTACCCATATCCATAGTAGTGAAAACAATGCGCTTAACGATTAGAAAACGAACTTGGCTTGGCGCACTCAATTTGATACTCGCCCCAGGCGCCTACGAGAGAAAGTATCCACAAGCCTCTTCCCGTATGCCAAAAGCTCTCATTGCCTCAACACTCTTCCGTGCTTGTTTGGTGGGCGTTTGCGACCCCATTGACGTCATGTATGCCTCCCGCTTCTTTACCATCCCCTCCAGTGTTCTCGGCAACATCTTCTGCGACTTCCTCCGCCAAATTCTTGACAGACTCCTTCAGCTGCTCCTTCACCTGCTTCTTCACTGCCTTCTTTATGCTCTTCAACAGCTTACTGTCCTTGTCGAAATTTGCCACCAGGGAGTCCACCTGCTTCCTGTACATAGCGGGCTGAGGCAGCAGGCATACGCATTTCAGAAAATCCGCGGCAGAGGCGATCCCCACCATCATGGTCGGGTCCAGCCCCGCCCCAATCACCATCACTCCCTTGCCGTCCACGCAGACCACGTGGCCACGTGGCCCATGGGCGGACCTCCACCGGTGGAGGGTACCCTCCTCTCTCGTAGTACACCGTGAAGCCCGACCTGTGCTGTGCGCACCCTAAAATCTGGGCTGCCGCTCTTCTTCCACTTGTGCGATCCCGGCAGCTAGGCCTTCACCTCGAGCTTCTTCGCAGTCACCGGCTTTCGCACTAAAACAGCACCCTCTGGCGCCTCGTGCCACTTTTTATTGGGCAGGAGTCTGCCTCCGACTCCCGCCGGTATCGTTACGTCGATGACGGGCTTGCCCTTCCCGTCACGTAGAACGACGGCCTTGGAACGCATCAGACTGAATGCCGGTTCCATTATCATATGGTACGTCGGGAAATCGGGATGTAGTTACAGCAACTTTGATGGGCTTTCTGCAACGGGTTTGTTGATATACTTCCTGTCGATGTTGCTGCAAGCCCGCTCATCAACACCCCATCGGCAATTTCGCCCCTGATGCCATTGATGCTAATGGGGCATGAATTCGACCAACCTGTTGAACACCACGTCACCAAGATAACGGCCGTTCTTGCTCGTACGACGTTAGTGTATGGGCATTGCAGCAACATTGACAGGCTGTGTGTCAACAAACTGGTTGCAGCAAGGACGGTCAAATTTTGTTGTAACTCCGTCCCGATTTCCGGATGTATCCCTTGACGTCATCCGCGTCCTGAATCAGCACCTTCCAGCGCCCGGATCTTCTGGCCATGCATGAGGGCTCGTCGCTCCATCGGAAGTACAGGCTCAGGAGCTGGCCAGTCTTGGACTGGAAAGACTCCCCTACGAAAAAGATGGGCCGGTCCTTGGCCACCAGGGGCTCCAACAGAGCGTTGAAGTCATGGTAGTTGAACCCCTTGGGAAGTGGAGCCCCCTTCTTCTCCCGCAGAAGGCCCTGCAATGCATGTCGCTGCGCACATGTACATGCCAAATATATTTGGCCGATTTTTTACTACATGTAATGGCCACTTGCAACCAATTTGCTGGCAATGCGGGGCCTTAACGTACAAGCAATTTGCATTGGGCACGTAGGGAACAGAAGCGGCTACACGTGCGGAAAAAAAAAGAGATTTGGTCCAATCTTGTCATGCATCATCACACCGTCACCACCAATGTGGGCGCCGCCGTGTTCTCAGCGACCGAGACCCGTAAGCCCTTGCGTGCGCTCCCAGCGGCTGGTTGACCCGCGGGGTTGGGTGGCCCCAACTGCAATGCCTCCAGTAGCAAACCAGTCCTCAATGACCCGCAGGGTCGACTGACGTCTCGGGGCAGAGAATGGCCATATCTCGTGCCCAGCGCTACCGCTGGAATCTTGTCCGGCGCTCAGTGTGCCGGGTGCGCCGCCGGCGCCAATAAGCGTCGTAACGTTCTGACAACCAGACAGACGTTGTCCGCCATTCTTTTCAAAGGGTTTCTTCGTGCCGCCCCCGCCTTCGCCTGCGGCGCTGGAGCAAGTGGGGCATGAAAACTCGCGACCTCGGCCTGGGGGGGCGGGATGCGTCTGCCGGTATGTGGAGCTGTGCTCTTGACCTCCCACATGCGTCCATTTTCAGGTGCGGCGCGACGGGGGAACAGCGCGGAACAGAGCGATAGCGGTGGCAGCGTGCAAGACACGCCTCTGCCCCCCCC